TGTGGTTTGCCTGTCTGATATCTTGCAGCTTCCTGGAAATATAGCTTAATGTTTCAGAGAAACTGACTCCAGCCAAAGACCTCTTCATCATTTAGAATCCATACACAAATTGTCTTTTGACTGACCATCAAGTGTTCTAATTGTTCCCCTGGCCAGCTTCAGTCATGTTGTCCAACATTCATTGCATCTCCCTGGGGAGTCATCTCTGTCCATCTTTGTCTGACCATACCCAACCTCAACATGATCTCCTTCAAGAAGATCTCAGTGATTGATTTGCCAGCTGTTGGGGCTACTGTCAGAAGCTGTTCAAGGGGAAAGTTAGGACACTTGATGCTCAGTCAAAACACAACTGATGTATGAATTCCAGATGATGAAGAGCTGTTTTACTGGAGTGACAATATATCAGAAAGGCAGACCACAAAGTTTTCTGATGAAAAAAGCAGACACTGCACACATTTCTAATGAAAAAAGCGAATACTGCAGAGTTTTCTAATGAAAAAAGGGGATACTACACAGAATTGTAATGAAAAAAGGGGACACTACACAATCTTCTGATGAATAAAGTGGACACTACAAAGTGTTGTAAGGAAAAAAGCAGACACTACACAATTTTCTAATCATCAAAGCGGACACTACAAAGTGTTTTAATGAAAAAATCGGACACTACACAATTTTCTAATGAATAAAGCGGACACAACAAAGTGTTTTATGAAAAAAGCGGACACAACACAATTTTCTAATGAATAAAGCGGACACTACACAGTGTTGTAATGAAAAAAGCGAACACTACACAATTTTCTAATGAACAAAACGGACACTACAAAGTGTTTTAATGAAAAAAGCGGACATTACACAGTGTTTTAATGAAAAAAGCGGACATTACACAGTGTTGTCATGAAAAAAAGCGGACACTACACAATTTTCTAATCAATAAAGCGGACACTACAAAGTGTTGTAATGAAAAAAGCGGACACTACACAATTTTCTAATCAATAAAGCGGACACTACAAAGTGTTGTAATGAAAAAAGCGGACACTACACAATTTTCTAATAAATAAAGCAGACACTACACAATTTTCTAATCAATAAAGCGGACACTACAAAGTGTTGTAATGAAAAAAGCGGACACTACACAATTTTCTAATCAATAAAGCGGACACTACAAAGTGTTGTAATGAAAAAAGCGGACACTACACAATTTTCTAATAAATAAAGCAGACACTACACAATTTTGTAATCATCAAAGCAGACACTACAAAGTGTTGTAATGAAAAAAGCAGACACTACAAACCAAAGTGTGGGAAATAATTCCCCATCCAAATGCGCAGTGTGCCTGACATCAGTTGTGTCTGAAAAAAGTGTAACACTTTTCTTAATTAGGAAATGGCCCAATTAGGAAATAGTGCGCACATCGTCATTAACAATGACCACACCATGCTAGCCATTAACTCTTCTGGCCCAAGAAGTGTGGGAAACAGTTCCCAACCTAAATGTGCACTGTGCCTGACATCAGGTCTGTCAGAAAAAAGTGTAACACTTTTCCCAATTAGGAAGTTGCCCAATTAGGAAATAGTGCGCACATCATCATTAACAATGACCACACCATGCTAACCATTAATTCTTCTGGCCCAAAAAGCATGGGAAACAGTTCCCAACCTAAATGCACACTGTGCCTGACATCAAGTGTGGCAGAAAAAAATGTAATGCTTTTCCCAATTAGGAAATGGCCCAATTAGGAAAAAGTGCACACATCAATGCATATACTACACATGGGTCAAACCCATTGGTAAATATCTGTCAACAAACATCCCAATGAGGGTATTCTGTCTACAAAATAATAGGTAAATCCCCTGTCCCCTATATTAAAAAAATCCCAAGTTTTTCTCTTAAATATAGGACCCCAGACACCCCTTGTGGCTGAAAAAATATATCCTTAGTCAACCCTAGCTGCAGAATATATCCCAAGTCCAACCCAGACAAGAAATATATTTCTACATTGTGACAGTCACAATTCAGGGTCCAGGCATAAGAAATATATTTGGAGTCCATTCCAGTGAGGAAATATATTTTGGGGTGTGTGACACACTAGAAATATATTTAGTGTGACATTGGACAACAAAATATATTTAGGTAAAAGTGGAGATATACAAGCCCAGAATATATACACTATAGATATACACCCTGACATTTAGTCCCGTAGTATTCATGGAGTTTGCAAGACTAACAGTCAGTTGTCAGTGGGTGACTGAAGTGAGCCAGGGGCAGCCACGTCGGTCGTTGTGGATCACAACTTCCATAACTTAGTAGGAACACAGCATTAGTTCATTCAATTCATTTTATTAAGTTGCATTATTCTTGAAACCCATTGGAGTAGCTATTTACGCGTTAAGTACCTGGCTAGCAGCTAACAAATCCACCGCGTGCGCGGTAAAGTTCTTTGCATCTGTTTTGAATGACTTGCTTTCAAACAAATGCAATCAAAACTACCGCACGCGCGGTAGTTTTGTTTGTTCAAGTTGAGAAACTTCTGGATGTGAAACAACGCCAAATTATGACGTGCGCCAAGGATCGTCTGAACCCCAGCGCAGGTTCAGACGATCCTTGGCGCACGTGATAATTTGGCATCATTTGGTTAACAACTCTAACGCCTTGTGCCCTCCTTATCTGTCTTACCGCTTCTGCAATTGTCAATGACTGACACGCCAGCACTGGATGATATTGATCAAGAGCTTTTGCAGAATGAAACAGAAGAAACCATCGTACCAGAGGATGAACATAATGTTGCCACAGCATTTTATGCATCAAGTTCAGGCCTTTCACGTTATCCCTCAGATGGAGGGGACTTTATGCTAAAAAATGGGCCAATTGATCCACAGTTTGTTGTACCCGATGCAGACCTCATCATCCTGGAGCGGCGAGACGCTCGCTTCTACTACGTTTACTGCCTCCAAAAACCTCATCCACATCCCAAATTGAATAAAGCCGTGCCCGACGCCTCCAAATACATAAAAGAAACTTGGGTGTATATTGTCGACACCTCACCTGAACACCAAAAACAGAGGTTTGACTTTGAAGAAACTTTGTCAGTTCCAATTGGTCCTGACTCACTAATGGATGAAATTGGTGAGTATGCTCTGCAGTTGATT